ACAGCAAGGGTCAGGACAGAAGGGAGAATATTGTTTTGTTGATATTCAGGTTTGTTTACACTGAAGTTAGGCCCTGTTTACAGTTAGCTATCGGATTGGCCTTTCGTTTACACGGCGACTCCTCCAGAGTGAAACGCAATGAATTTGCTGCGTGTTTTGGTGTTGTCATGATGTGGTTACATACATAAAATATAGTTACGTATGTAGGCCTACTATACATTTTGTTTCTTCACAAAAATCCCTTTAGTGAGAGTTTTGGTCTTTAAGAAGCAGCCTTGTCAAATGGTGTAACCCGTTGGTGTCAAATGGTGTAACCAGATTTTAAAGTTAAAAACAATATTAGGTCCAAAAAAGAGAGACTGCCATTGTTTAATGATGTAAACTAAGATGATTTTGGCTTTTTAAATTAGTTTTGTAAACACAATATTTAGAAAATTAATGTGCTCCGCAGTACATTTCCAGCTTTGAGTAGTTAAAATGCTCAATATTCAGATTAGGATATTATCAAATAATTTTATTTTAATGGTCTGCTTGCAACAATAATCGGTTATTTCCATCTGTGCACTTACCCTCACTTGAAATATATTAATACTGCTATATTTTTTATTCATTTGTTGGTTACACCACTTGACATTTTCATGTGTGTCCAATCGTATCGCAGAGGGGGAAAAAAACTATACATTTGACAAAACAACATTTGTTTGTTTCTAAATTGGAGATAGTTTTCCCTCTGGTTAGCCGTACTTTCAGAAGTGATTCAGTCTTTGTTGCTTTCATCTGTTAATAGACCTGTTCCATTCCTCACAGTCGACCTCCCACTCTCAATCACTGGTGCGGTTTTTTACGTACGATTCGAGGTTTGTGAAGTTTTTACTCCTTCAGATTTGTCATGTGGCCTTTGCTGCATTCAGCCGCCCACATAGTTTGACAGCAGCAACAATAGACGTATTGAAAAATGATAGTATTTCTAAACTCTCATCTGTGGGCTGTTTTTCTTCTCCTCTCCACCAGCATTCTCCTCACGCTCTGTGCTGGTGCGAGAGTTTTCCCTCTTATGGAAAACTATGGTCATGGAGAAACGAGCACTGGAGTCGATGGAAGGGAATGTTTTGCAACTATTGCTACCATTACTTATTGTCAGTGATCAGCTTGGATTTTTGAAATGGGAGATGTCGAATCCCAAATGTAGGACGTACAAGTCTTTGTTGTTTCTGTTTATAAATAAATGTTTCAGTCCCTTATCGAACACCATTTGAGAAAAATACATTATTGACATATTCCTATTTAATTCAGTGAGGATTGCTTGTAATAAAAGTCAAATTAACAACAACATTGATATGTATTTATAATTGATGCATTTATTTATTCATCAATCAAAAAATCTGAACAAATCGCTATTTTTTTATATAAAATCCATATAACTAAATTAACACATATTGTATAACATTTAAGAAAGTTATTTTTATAAAAACAATTGATTGAAGCCAGACGGGAGTGTGGATCCACAAAGATGGCATGTTGTTTGGACCCGTGTCAACTTTTCCTTTCATATTTTTGGCACCCCTATTAGACCCTGATTGGTTTCAGCCTCCCATAGACTTGTATTTGGAAGTGAATCCTGCTTGATCAGTCAGACAGTGGACAATGGTTTGTAGCCAGTAGTTGTGTTTCTATGAGCGACAGACGAACCCTTTTTATCAAGCCTTTTTAAAGTAGCGCAAAGGGGAGGAATTTCAAGGTTTTGTGTCACTGTTGAGTCGCAGTTCTGTGGAATTTCAAGACTTCCGCATGATTTTTAACAGAGTTTAAACAACAGAGATAACAGCCGAGTTGCATTTGAGTCATTCCAGTAGTTTTGGAAGTTTGGCCGTTATCCAATGGCAGAGCTGATATTTGCTCTTCAGCTGTTGAACTGCACCTGATATGACTTGGTGCAGATTAAACTTGAAGGTACCTAACTTTCAAACCACAAAAATGGAACTATGTAATAAAATCTGTGTACCTGGTCTCTCACTCTAAAACTGTTTGGTTCCATTGCTAGTTTTCTCATGTATTTTTGGCCTCTGTCATCTTTTAGATTTACTTTTTCAGACAGAACAGTGGAAAAGAGAGGACCAGCCTCACGCCAACCAATCGACTCTCAGCCCAAAAAATCAAATGGTGACTCACAGGGTTCTTCATTACAAGTGTGCAAAACGTTTTCTAATAAGATGAAGACGGTATGAGATTTCATAACACTTTGAAGCAACTTTTGTTAAAGTTAAACTCATCATTCTATCAATGTGCAGAAGCCTGTACTTTTCCCTTGTTTTGTCTATCTGAAGGCCAAGCTACAAGCACACCGTGGAAGCTGCTGATTGGAGGTCTCCATGCCTCCGCTCTGTATAATACACTTGCATTCTATTGTTTCTGTGATCGTGTGTTTTGTTCGTGCTGTCTCTACCATCGACAATAAAACATGTCTTCTGTCTGAATGTAAGACGCGATCCCGGACTTTGTCATCTTCTTCAGGTGGTGGAAGAATGCGGGCCTTGTCTGTAACATCTAGAGAACAGAAGACTACTTTTTTTTACACAAAAAGTGTTTTTTTTTTAAGCCAAAACTGAAAAACCTCAAGAGAAACCATGCATCTGGATCAGAACATGGACAATCTGCACAGCCCCTGATTCCACTCAGGCTGTGAGCTGCTGAGACATGGACAACACCAGCGTCCTCTTTTGCATGGACATAATTTGGAACAATCTGGATTTCTGAATTTGGACATAATTTGGACTGAATTGGATTTCTGAATCTGGACACTGAAGCTGAAACGTGTGATTGAAAGACACGTCACAGAAGAATTCATGGCTCGACACAAATGCAGCCTGAAGAAACCAACACGGAGAAGTGGGAGAGACTGTTTTCAAAGCAATATCTGGAACCACCATCGACTGATGAAGTTTGGTATTTTACTGAAGATTGTTGACAAGTTTTATGAAAGATCTGAACATGTTTTATGAGTTTTATGAGTTTAAGTATTGAGTTCTGAGTTCTGAGTTTTTTGAAGTACCGAGTTGAAGTATTGAGGCATGATGTTATGTTGCTGTTTATCAATCCTGATGGTCACACGTGAATTTATGACCAGAGGGGGGAATATGAGATTTCATAACACTTTGAAGCAACTTTTGTTAAAGTTAAACTCATCATTCTATCAATGTGCAGAAGCCTGTACTTTTCCCTTGTTTTGTCTATCTGAAGGCCAAGCTACAAGCACACCGTGGAAGCTGCTGATTGGAGGTCTCCATGCCTCCGCTCTGTATAATACACTTGCATTCTATTGTTTCTGTGATCGTGTGTTTTGATCGTGCTGTCTCTACCATTGACAATAAAACATGTCTTCTGTCTGAATGAAAGACGCGATCCCAGACTTTGTCATCTTCTTCAACGGCATGATGTGATTGGTCTACAAACAAAATGTGCTGTTTCAAAAAATTAGATACTCCAACTTTACAGGTGTATACTCACCTGTCCTGGGGGCTTTCTGCTTCATCTACTGTACATATTGTTTTGTCTGGATATGTGTAACTAATACATGTTGTATCTGTGGAGAGGCGAGTGTATCGCTGTAAAAAAAAAAAAATTGTAAGCACTAAACTCATCCAATGTAAGTTTCATGTAGGGATGTCACGGTTTAACGTTTTTCAAAATCATCCAAGATTGGACAAAGCCGTTTAGTCTTTAAGAACTGTTGCCTTATTTACTCTTTCCAAGGGAAACATTTCTTGTATCTTTTTAAAACAAGATCATTTTACTTATAAAAAAATCTTGTTTTAAGGCAGTCAAAATGAGCTCAAAATTGGATACAGTTTGCCAAATTTGAAAAATGTTATGTAATATTGTTACTAGGGCTGTCAAACGATAAATTTTTTTCAGTTGATTAATTGCATAGTAATGATAAGTTAACTCACGATTAATCGCATTTTTAACATTCTATTTCAAATCCACTCCAATTGAAGTTAAATGAGATTTTCAAATGTAATGACACATTATTCATAACAAATGTACTTGAATCTGTTTGACTTGCTCACAACCTTCTACTTTTGGGTACAACCAACAAGAGCTGTTAATGAAAGGGAAAATGTAGGTACCCCAGCTTTAATTTTGCGAGTTTGGTTGCATTTCAGCGTGTCTCCTCCGTGTGTCACACAACATCAGAGAATGGCCCCTGTGCGTGTATATATATATATATATATATATATATATATATATATATATATATGCGTGTATTATATGACCACGTTACCGCTGTCACCATCACACACACGCACGTGTCCGCGGCATTCTGAGTGATATTATTATATATGGGCGGGTCATTCGGACATGCGTTAATAATTTTTTTACGCGTTAATGAAAACGGTAATTAACATGAATTAACGCGATAATTTTGACAGCCCTAATTGTTACATATGTTAATATATGTTGTTTGTTATGTAAACTTATTTGTATCACTTTTTGAAGTGGACAAAAAGCAGTTCACCTCCAGGACAGAGGAGGAATGCACCTTTCGGCACGGTGGCTGAGTGGATAGCATTCTCGCCTCCCAGCAAGAAGGTCCTGGGTTCGAATCCCGGTCGGACCAGGGCCTTTCTGAGTGGAGTTTGCATGTTCTCCCCGTGTCTGCGTAGGTTTCCTCCGGGCACTCCGGTTTCCCCTACCACTAAAAATATGTCCAATAGTTCTAGCATGCGCCTCCTGTTCGGCGACCCCGCTCCCATCTCTGTGTGGAGTGAGAGACAAATGCCCAAAATTAACAATTGTAAACCGCTTTGAGACTCAGATCTGCAGTGAAAAGGCGGTATATAAATAAAAACTTACTTACTTACTTTAAGTCGCACCGGTTGCTAATGTTCTATAGTCTGATATAGAACTATCATATAGAACTATATAGAACTAAACGATTTCTGCCTGTTGTGATGTGTGTTGTTGCTCACCTCTTGTCTCTGGTTGTGTGTCCTTTGTAGCTGCTCAGCTTCATCATCATCATCTGCTATGCGGCGTCTGTGTACACAGGGTACTCCGCTCTGGCCATCTGCGAGATGATCTTCGCCATGGTGTTCTTTGGCATCTTCATGATGGAGCTGGACAAGCAGTTCCAGCTCGTCAACTGGATGTGGAGTGTATGTGCTTTTTAGAAATGATTATTATTTTTCTACTTAAAGAAAAAAAGTTTAAATGATAAAAACCAAAAGCCTGAAAAACAAAAATGAAAGAAGGATAAACAAAAACATTAAAACTGCTTACATAGACATGCAAGTAACCATTCATGATATCCCCTTCTACAACAATACACAACACAAGGGTGAATTTCATAAGTGTCAAATAAAAACTAAACAAAACTCTTTATGGCTCGGTGCTGTTAGGCAGGGGACTGGAACAGAGCAGAGGGGCGAACCTTGGATAGGGGGAATTATTTTAAAAGGGCAAATCCTCTGACAAGTGTGGCCCAAAAAGAATTACTGGCAAAGAGTAAATCAAAAGTATGAAAGTGGATGAGCTCACAGATGCCGGTCTGTTCCAGTGATTTAAAATATGTTTTTGATACAGTCATGTAAGACACAAAGCAGATACAAAAATAAGGAGTCATACACAATATAGAGTTTGTACCGTTTCTAGCTAAACTCCAGCAGTAATCGGTGCTTAGGATCGACACAGGCAGGAAAAGTGTCATTGTATTTGTATTGATTTTATTAGATCACTAAGAGTCAATGTCCCTGACCTCCCTGATCTGTGTTGACAAATTCAACAGTTTTGTTAAGTCCTCTGACGTAACTGCTGTTGTGATTTTGGGCTATACAAGAATACATTTAATTGATCCACCCTCAAAACTCATCTGATTAGACAAGCCTATTCACTTTCATCATAACTACACCATCCTCTGATCATGCTGTTTTTAACTTTGTATTTTAACTGTATTTTAACGTGTCTAGAAAGGTGCCTAAGAAAAAAAAAGTATTATTATTGTTATTGTTATTGTCAATGCAGTACTAATGAGTGGTTGTGTGTGTGTAGGACCTGTTCCGTGCAGGCATCGGTGCAGTCCTCTACATCATCACGTCTCTGGTGTGTGTGATCGGAGGAGCAGGGGACGGAGCCCGGATCGCTGGAGGGGTCAGTCACTGCTGCCGCTCGTCTGCTGAAATTAACTCAAAAGATTGTGGCCGTGGGACCTCAGTTACATTTGAGTAGTTCTATGCCAATACTCATCAATCAGAGGATTTATTTATTTATGTATGTGTCCATGTAATCATTATACATACTGTACACATACATACATAGATCTATATTAACTTTACATTTGTGCAAAGACATTTTAAAGAAGCTATACCCGATTTTTTTTCTATTGAGTTAATAAAAATCCATATAACTACATACAAGTTGTATTAAAAACTGTAATTTAATTGAAAACTGGAGCTCATTGATTCAGCTTAAGCACGAGTTTAGGCCATTCAAAGTGCTGAGATTACTTTTAGTGGGCCGCTGGCTCTCCTCCACTCACAGAACGAGGAAGCGTCCTCTAGCCTCTACAGCGCTGCTAAAAACAGTAGCATGTTAAGATAAGATAAGATGTGCTTTATTTATCTCACAAAGGAGAAATTTACATGTCACATTGGCATGGATAGAGACATTCAGATTGTGCAAAAGAAAGAAATGTGCAAACATGTTACATGCAGAATAATTATGTACAACAAAAGTGTCACGTGTCAATTGGAAAAAGTGTCAACAGTAGTGCAGGTTTTCACATAGTGACCATTTAAAGTGACTTATTGTACAGTCTGACAGCGGTGGGGATAAAGGCCCAGCGGTAGTGCTCCTTCCTACACTGAGGGTGTGTCAGTCTTCCACTGAAGGAGCTCCTCAGCTCCTCTACAGTCCTGTGCAGTGGGTGGGAGGTATTGTTCATGATGGAGGTGGCTTTGGCTAGCACCCTCCTGTCCCTCACCTCCTCCACAGAGTCCAGGGGACAGCCCAGAGTGGAGCTGGCCCTCCTGACCAGCTTGTTCAGTCTGTTTCTGTCCCGCTCTGTGCTGCCCGGAGCCCAGCACACGGCAGCGTAGTATAGCAGAATTGGCTATAACTCTTCTTGCTGTAACTGCAAACACAGCAAAACAGCCCAAACAGTGAGGAAGAGAGGAGGGAACTAAAGCGAAAAAATGATCAAAGAAGAAATCAAGCCCGGGTGAACATAGCTAACTTACATCATATCCTCTGGAGAGACTTGTCCATGGGAGAGACCTGCGGAACCGTCTCGGACTATCTACAGTATGCTCGGACTATATTCAAATGTGAAACTAGCGGTAATCTTTCAGTTATATACACTGCTCACAAAAACTTAAGGCACACTCAAAAAACACAATGTAACTCCAAGTCAGTCAAATTTCTGGGATATCAGACTGTCCAGTTAGGAAGCCACACTTATAGTGAATCACTTTCACCTGGTGTTGTGGAAACTAAACAGACAACAGGTGCAAATGTGAGGCAATTAGCAAGATCACTCCAAAAGAGGAATGGTTTTGCCATTACCATTTCCCTGTCTTCATTCTTTGTACCATAGTTTTGGAACACTTTTGCATGTCCAGTGTTCTCACCACTAAAGGTATCATGAAGAGGCATCTACCACCCACAGAAGTTGCTCAGAGAGTGATGCTCATCCAAAATGGCACGCCCATTTGCGCTGTGGAGAGAGGGTTTGCTGTGTCTCCCAGCGCTGTGTCCAGAGCATGGAGGAGATACCAGGAGATAGGCCAGTACACCAGGAGACCTGGAGGGGGCCAACCAAGGTCAACAACCCAGCAGCAGGACAGCTATCTGCTCATTTGTGCACAAAGAAACAGCAGAAGCACTGCCCGGGTCCTACAAAATGACCTCCAGAGGGCCACAAATGTGCATGTTGGTACTCAAATAGTCAGAAACCGACTCCATGAGGGTGGTATGAGGACCTGACATCCGCAAGTTGGGCCGGTGCTTACTGCCCAACACCGTGCAGCCTGATTGGCATTTGCCCGAGAACACAGTGATTGGCAGATTGGCCAATGGTGCCCTGTGCTCTTCACGGATGAGAGCAGGTTCACCCTGAGCACATGTGACAGACGTGACAGAGTCTGGAGACGCCCTGGAGAACGTTCTGCTGCTTGCAACATCAACCAGCTGACTGATGCTCTTATCCAGATCTTGGTTGAGATCCCTCAGGAGAACCTCCGTGGTCTCATCAGGAGCATGCCCAGGCGTTGTAGGGAGTGCATTCAGGCACGTGGAGGCCACAAACACTACTGAGGATGATACAGACTCGTTTTGAGGAATTTCTTCAGAATTTGGATCAACCAGTTACCTCATTTGTCACTTTGATTTTGACTATAATTTTGGATCCAGACCTCCAGGGGCTGAGAATTTGATTCCCATCTATCATTCTTATGTTATGTTGTTCTCAACACACTATGAATAAAGATTTTCATCCAAAAAATCGAATTGATTGACATCTAGGATGTGTTTGAGAGTGCCCCAAGTTTTTGTGAGCAGTGTATTTTGTTTGCAGTGCGTTGCTTTTGTACCATTTCATCAGTGATTGTTGTACAGCTTAAGTTGTGCTGATGCTATTGTTAGCATACGTATCAGATCGCAAATAAAACTAGATGGCTCCGTGGGATGAGAGCGTAGGGGAAATGAGAAGCCTGTGAGCGAGTTGAGGGGCGGTGCTAAATATTCAATCATGTATAGCTCCTTTAACATTTTCACCCTCAGCATGATCCGTCACCCACCCCCAACATCACCAATCTACCGTCCTATTCTATAACAACAAACTTTCTTTACACTTAAATATTTTAATTTTCTTCACATTCAGTCTTTCTTTTGTCCTTTTTATTTTTTATTTTTTATGTAAGATATTAGAAGCACATTTCAGTGAGTGGCTCTGAGCGTTCCATAATCAAACACCACATTACAGACACACACTTCTGTCTTTGCAAAAGCAGTTCTGAAAGTATATTTTTGTCCGTGGTGCGAGTCCTGTGACAATTTGAACCTCTCTTGAATGGCTTCAGTTTGCCATAGTTTGTGTTTGGCTTTCTGGACAATTAACAACATTCGCAGATCAACTAGTGTTTTAAACTTAGGTTGTCTGGATTCGATAAACAAGTTGTTTGTGTGCTCTCTGAAGCCCTTTTTATGATTCTAATCAGAGAGAAACAAAAAAAGATTTTATCACCAAAATGACCATATGGTGGAAGTAGGGAGATGATTGCTACTGCTGGGAATGTCGAAAAGTACTAATATTATGTCCTTGGATAAAGAGTATAGTACAGCAGTGTTCCCCAACCTCCCCCAGGCACAACCACGAGCTGAAACTGAAACTGAAACATGATAACTCCACAACCTTTTATTAACACAGCAAAGTCATTCTTATCAAATTGTATTCTGTACGAGCTCAAATAAGTCCTTCTCATATTGTTTTCCTCTCACATTATTTGGACCAATCAGGTGATAGAGGATAATTTCCAAAGGCACCAAACAACATCAAGACACTAAAGTCCCGTGGCCCTCTGGTTGAGAAGCACTGTATTCTAGTTTGTTAGAGGATTTCGTTGTATTTGATGACCTGGACTTTCAGGCGATGGGGAGAGTAACGGAGAATGTCATTAATCATCTTTTTTGCTTCCTTCTTGCTCCACACTTGAGGAACACATTTGCACATTTCCTTTTTACAGGAAGTTGCAACTACAATCTGGGTGTGATGTAATTTGTTTTAAGTGATTTTGTTCATAAAAACAGACTTTAGTGTTGTCACGGAGCTAACGTTTAAAACTCTACTTTGATTGTAATTAATATTAATAGGTGAATAATTATTGATACCAAATACAATACCTCTTTGACCACAAAAGAAAAGGGTTTTTTATCACTATGCCACAATTCTTTTTGTTCTGAACAAACACTTTCTTGCATTTTTTCAATTTTCTCATCCAGGTGCATGAAGATTTTTGTATCATTTCAGTTTATAGAATAGTTTGGTATATATTACCTCAGAACCAGTCGTTGTTTACATAATATACTGAATGTATCTGTGGATTCAAAAAAACAACAATAAGTTACTGTCTGATCACATGGTATGATATTCTGAAAACCTTTGTTGCCTATTTATTAGAACTAGTATTTCAAGTGTTGGTTTTGTTTTTTCTAATGTAAATTAGATTATAGAGGATACAAAGGGCTCCATTTCATGTGGAAAATATTGAAATATCAAACTCCTTAAACAAGATTATTCGATAAACATGGATTATTTTGAAAAGAGTAAATCAAAGTCAATCTAGTGAATGCAAGTCTTGTTGATTGTTTAGTCGGAATAATCTGAGAATATCTGTACGTCCTGAACAATGAACAATGAACACTGCCGACTGTGCTCATGCGCGTTCGCCTGCAGAGATAATGTGCAATACTGTCATCTCAGAATGTGCAATATGGCATCACAATGTGTCCTCAGCTTTTATATATAAACGTACAGTTACAGCCGTCACTGTCAATATTACTCTCAAACCTGCTATGCTGCTCTTTTTTTATTTTTATAAATAAATTGTGTTTAGTAACTTTTTGTGAACAGATCAGACCACAACACATCCTTATCTTCTTGAAACATTGTATGTTTTTCGTACTGAGAGCTCAGAGCTGATTGGCCGAGTGATGGCAGCCTGAAAACCAGAACACATGCAGATGAAAACTAGTGATCGAAGCCAAGAACCAGAGACATGGATTTAATTTCTGAGATTAAATCCATGTCTATTTATGAACAACCGGCTCTGGGACTACAAGTGTAAATTAGCACTGCTGCTACAACCTGGTGCAATGCATCTCTCCTCTTGACTAATGTTTATAGTACACTGTCCCCGTAAAAATAAAAACCATACCATACCATATTTTAGTTGGTTTCTTCAGTTTTAATTATTATACATATTTTATACCTTAGCTGCAAAGTTTTTAAGCATGAGTTGAATTATAAAATTGTCACTTTATAATCTCACACCTCTGGTCACTCTTTTATAATCTGCACTGTTAAATGTCTACTGTGTATATTTATATATTAGACTATTATACAGATTTTTTTATCCATGCCTTTATTTATTGTTTATTTGGTTGGGACAGTACATGTTAATGAACACATCACTCCGGATTGTAGCCTTGGGCTAATTTCCATCCGTCGTCCCACATTCGCACTCACAAACACACAATCATTCACCCTGGACTATTGCACGTTTTAGTGGTAGGGGAAACCGGAGTACCCAGAGGAAACTTACACACGTGGAGAACATGCAAACTCCACTGTGCTGCCCATCTATTTTATGTTCCATAACTTTCTTGCGTCTTAAACCAAAGCAAATTCATAGTTTGTAACTTTCTGTTACTTACAATGGCAGCTTCTCATCTCGCTGTGTGCTGTGTTCTTACTTGACAGGTCTTCGGTCTTATTGCTGGCCTCCTGTTTGGATATGACACCTACACGATTTATCTACAAATCAAGAGCACTAGGCAGCACACAGCGGCCTCTACTGGTGAGAACCACTCACTACTACAAATACTACTACTACTACTACTACTACATGTGGACACTTCTAATTAATATATTATTTGAGTTGATAATTCCTGTTTTGTCTTTGCTTTCCAGATGATGGAGTCTAATATTCTGCGCACTGTTGTGTTACGAGAGGACGAACAAAAAGGGACGTGTGATTTTCATTGAACTTCAAGCAAAAGCAAAGACGGACAGTGTAACGAGCAGGTCACAGTTCAGACGTAGTTTTGGTTATAGAGTCGTCCGCAGTGGGCTGTGTGAACGGTAAACGATGTATACTAAGTGTTATTTTCTCACAACACTCTAAGTACCACTGGCATTTTCACATAAGACCATTCTGCATTTTTTTGAGTTGGTAAAGTATTAACAGGCACATGAAGTTCGACAGTATCGCCCACTTCTAATGCTTGGAATGGTTTAAACACTGTGGAACCAAAAACCCAAACGAGATACATATTTTCGAGTCATTAAACATTTGTTTTGACTTTTTGAGGTGGAAGAGAAGGTAGAAAGTTACTGGGCAGAGAGGCCGACCAAAGCAATCCAGCTATTCCTCATTTGATAGAATTTTTAAACGTTATAAATGCCTTTTTTTATACATAGATGACAGAATGGGAACTAGAAATAGCATTGTTCAGGTACCTGCCTAAAAGATGAACGGTGGCAAACTCAAAGTTTGTCTGAAAATTTTCAAATTATATTAAAAAAGATTTGGAATAAGATTTGTTTTCATCCAAAACCTTAAAAAACTAAAAACTAGTTAGATCCAACACATTAAGTTTAGATAATATACATTCTTAAGTGCCCTTACTATTACGCAGAATGGCAAGCTATTTTAATATTTTTAGATGCGGGTGCAACTGCTGAGCTTCATAGTGTTTAGAGTCTGCTGTAGTGACTAAAGGCTTCCTAACGTATTTGACTGTTGTTTCTACTGCTACTCTTCCCCCTTTTACATAAATCCCTCTCACTGTTTTAAGAGCCACAGATCTTAATCCTTTATCCATCACAGCCGTTCTGTCTTTTTGTTGCTGTTTTAACTTTGAAGGAACACATATATTTCTACAGAAACCTCAGTTGCCACTCTGTTTTATATTCTGAGTTGTTACCAATGTGTAGTATTTGTAACATGATCTTTCAACTGAGAGTTCTTTGGGAAATAAAAGCCATTAATAATAACTTTGTATGTGGTGTTGATAGACTGTCCACAAGATGGCAGCAAATGGTAAAAGGGCAAATGTATCCAACCAGGTTAGACACATTTTACGTCATTATAGTTAAGACTTCACAAAAGCATTTTCCCCCTAAAATGTTCTCTTTTTTAGGTTTTTATTGTTTTACTTTTATGATCATTAAATCTTGCATCCAAAGAGTACAATTCTTCAAAACTGATACATGAGAAATGGTAATAGTCAAGGTACGACAATATTAAACTTTAAGAATATTATTTTTCTAGTTTTCATAAGATGTAAACATTAAAGTGTTTTGTTGTAAATTGTGCCAAACAAAGATGTATTGCCAAGTTCAGTTCTGGAAGTCTGCACATTTCAAAATATTTTCCAACTTTTTGTTATAATTTGTGGGTTTATTGATATTTAACTGTCATTTATATTTTGAACGGGTGTCAATCTATAAAAATAAAGTCAAAATTGGAGGAGAAAATGCGTACTGGATAATGACACCAACATAATAATGGATCCTGCTGAAATAATAATAATAATAATAATAATAATAATGATGAAAAAATAAATGAGACCCAGACAACAAACTAATGTAACATGAAATAAATAACAAAAATGTCTTTTGTAAAACTACATAACGTTAGAAGAATTTACTCATTTATTTATGTACAGCCCAGAACCACAACAGTTTCTGAGGACTTTCCATTCACCAACAACAGATAAGAGAATTAAACGGTTTGAAAACAGGAAATGCAATAATAACAAACCATATTATTATAGATGCATGTAACAAACACATAGGAGCCATTGGTTCATAGGGAGTGGGATGACCAATGTTCAAGATCATTAAATATCCCAGATCACAACTGTATATTTACATATTTTTAATACAAAATGTTGTTATATTTCTGTTGGCAAATGCATTCTTGGTGTATCCTTTTCAACCTTTCGACTTCCTAGTTGCTGTGGTGAAGTTAAGCCCAAACTCCTGTATGCATGAAGAGCAGGTATGCGACAGGCACGTCAAGTGTACATACGTGACGTAAGTATTGTACTACAAACGTCTGGTTTTCAAAATAAAATATCAATCAATATCATAGTTTTACTCTATATAAATGAAAAATTATTACATTATTATACTGACTACAATAGGTGCGTATATACCACACATTTCACACACACACGAGTCTATATTTTATGTTTTTGTGCTATCTTATTTTTTTTATCGAATGCAAACCGGATGTGAGCTTCTCCGCCATTGCTAGCTTGTTTTCACAACATCAGTCAGAAGTGCTTTCCCCGAGTGGAGAGCAGCAGAGCACCAGTGTCTCAGGTCAGCGGCATGTAGGAGTTTACCACTCTCCAACACTTTGTTCCCACGTCTTCTCGTCTTCGTTCATCGTTTTTTTCTCCATTCACTTTTCTGAAGCCCAAAAGAAGCGCCATGTTTCTGCGCGGCTCCAAAAAGCGAAGATCAACGCGTGCGGTGAGTCACTTTCTTTTCTCATGTATTCACAGATACTAACATCCATTTAATCTGTCTTCATTTCAGTAATTTCACCTTTTTGATATTTGATCCTGTGTTTTTTTACAGTGTGGTTGTAGTAAACACACAGGTTATACTGTGCGTAATAGCTTCTCTCATACTTCACCTGTACTTTTATAGCATGACCCAATGGCATTCCTCTTTCTGAATTACTTTAACTTGACATATTCTATCTCTTCGATTGGCATAAAAAGCATGGATTACTCAAAGTGTAGTGGAGCACAAAACTGCGACATTCTTTGTTTATTAAGTCATTTGAGGCGCCCCAGGTGAGTCAAGAGGGTCGGCTACGTCACTGGCTTTACCAACTTGTACTGTCGTCAAAAAGTCTATTCAAGCAGCAGTGAAAAGTTGTGATCAAAACACTCTATTTCAAAGAGACAAGACCTTTCCCTTTGTTTTTATTGAGCCACAAAAGTTTTATTGAGGCTACTGCTACTATTTAGTGAAGTCTTGGCCATTACAGAAGCTATAAACAGGCATCCAATTTCCAAACCTTTTAGCAACGACTTCAACTTATATTACAGCCATTCAACTCATAAAATATATTTTTATCTATGCAATTCTTACACGTGAAGATGCACAATTCAAGAAAATGTCCCCTTTGCCCTTCTTTGTGATAGTTTTGGACAACCAAGACAATTGTGGATGCTTTTTAGAAAAAATATGCTTTGCCCACAGTGTGCACAGTAGACCACAAAAAAAAGGGAAAAGGAAAATAATTGACATTGGCCAAGAAGATAGTATGTTACTTACTGATAAAAAGAGACATTTTAAGAATATAATGAAGTTCCATGTATATATTCCTAAATCACAACAGCAGTTATCTTGGAGGACTTTACATATTTGTTGATTTGCCAACACAGATCAGAGAATCAAACCGTTCAAACATGGGAAATGCTATAATAACAAACACACACTGATCCTTAGGGAGAAGGATGACCAATGTCCTTAAATGTCCTGGATCATCACTGCCCTTAGACCCTCCTGCATCAGAAAGGAACGACTCAAAAAAAAAACAGTGGGAAAAAAGTGAAAAACCTTGGACTCAGGCTGTTCAACGAACGCTGAGGATGTGTGGTGCAGGCGGGGCCTCCATGGCGGGGAAAATATTGAGATTAATTTTAAATATTATTGTGCCAACACATTTTGTCTGTTTTTGATCTGCAAATGTGGGAATAGCCAATCACTGTGTCAAGGAAGAAGAGATATAAGCATTTACATTTACACACGTATATCATATTATAGTACTCTATAAGTACACACGATTGTGTCAGAAAACTCAAATTTCCTTATCCACCGCATCTAATTTAACTCTATGGGAGGTGACTGTCCATTATGTGCGTAAATCCACAGCTGAGTGAGAGATCAAATACGGGCGGCGAACAGATGTTTAAAAACATCTGTCTCCAGCTCATTTGGACAGACTCCAGACGATGATCCCACTGCAGTTAAATACAGCTCTTGAACTAACAAAGTCCCAAGTGTTTACGTCTAGTTGTGTGTATAAGCCTGTAATAAATATTGGAATACAGCACATTCCCCTGCTAAGTGTTCTATGAGTAATTACACCAACATGACATTTGTTTAGCTTGTACATGACTATGGTGGCATCAATATTTAACACCCCATCCCTTTTACTATATTGTTTGAGTTGGATTACGTTCACATGAGTACCAACCAATGAGCATAAAGCTTGTTGGACATGTTGAATTACTGGGCACATTTCAGGCCAATGCGAGGTATTGTTTCCAAGTTTGTTGGTACTTTCAGACGCTGGTTATTTTTTGTCAATTTATCTGAAACAGGCTGGCGCCACCCACATGAGAACGCCATATCACGTCAGACCTATGAAGCTAAGCAGGGCTGGGCTGGTTAGGACTGTGATGGGAGAACACTGGGAACCACTGTAAAATCCCAAATTTGTTGTGTCTTTAGGGAAGACACTTCACCCACATTGCCTAGTATGAGTCCAGAGTGTGCGTGAATGGTTGGTGGTAGGAGGGGCACATACTGGTTGCCTCGCTACTGTCAGTGTGCCCCAGGTCAGCTGTGGCCACAGCTGTGGTTTATCACCACAGTGTATGGAGTGAATGAATATTGGCATGTGGAGCGTCTTTGAGCGTACAAAAACACCTATAAAACAAATCAAAGTGATAGCCATATAATCCATTTAGCGCTTTGGTACTATCACCAGATTTCACATGCATGTATTTTCTGTCACATCTGTAGATCACTTTTTTCAGCCATAAAGTAGAAAAAAAGCTCCCAGCCTAAAGCGTCAAGTAGTGACTCTTAGGGAACCTTCTTACAAATATGCAGAAGATAAAGATAAGATAAGATATGCAGACGACACTCAGATCTATGTCTCACTGACTGC